GACCCCCCAAATTCCACAGCCGCGCCCCTCCTGTCTCGGCAGAGCCTCCCCATGACCCCCGCCCCGGCCCGCTGAGGGGTCCCGGGGCTCCCGGGGCTCCCGGGGGTCCCGGTTGTGCCCTCGCTCCTTCCCGGGAGGACGTGGAGCTCGTCCCGGTGTCCCCACGGGCCCCGCCCCGGTTACCGGGAGCCCTCCGGGAGGAGCCCACCCCTCCCACCGGGGTCTCCGCTGCCAATAAAGGTTTTTGTCTCCAGTGCCGCCGCATTCCCGGGATCCCGGGGCCAGTGCTGGGGGAAGTTCCCAGGGATGTGTTTCATTCCCGGTGTCCCGTTCCCATTCCCGGTGTCCGGTTCCCGGTGTCCCAGTGTCCCGTTCCCGGTGTCCCAGTGTCCCGTTCCCATTCCCGGTTTCCCATTCCCGGTTTCCCATTCATTCCCGGTTTCCCATTCATTCCCAGTTTCCCATTCATTCCCAGTTTCCCATTCCCAGTTTCCCATTCATTCCCAGTTTCCCATTCCCAGTTTCCCATTCATTCCCAGTTTCCCATTCCCAGTTTCCCATTCATTCCCAGTTTCCCATTCCCAGTTTCCCATTCATTCCCAGTTTCCCATTCCCAGTTTCCCATTCATTCCCAGTTTCCCATTCCCAGTTTCCCATTCATTCCCAGTTTCCCATTCCCAGTTTCCCATTCATTCCCAGTTTCCCATTCCCAGTTTCCCATTCATTCCCAGTTTCCCATTCCCAGTTTCCCATTCATTCCCAGTTTCCCATTCCCAGTTTCCCATTCATTCCCAGTTTCCCATCCATTCCCAGTTTCCCATTCCCGGTTTCCCATTCATTCCCAGTTTCCCATTCCCAGTTTCCCATTCATTCCCAGTTTCCCATTCCCAGTTTCCCATTCATTCCCAGTTTCCCATTCCCAGTTTCCCATTCATTCCCAGTTTCCCATTCCCAGTTTCCCATTCATTCCCAGTTTCCCATTCCCAGTTTCCCATTCATTCCCAGTTTCCCATTCATTCCCAGTTTCCCATTCCCAGTTTCCCATTCATTCCCAGTTTCCCATTCATTCCCAGTTTCCCATTCCCAGTTTCCCATTCCCAGTTTCCCATTCATTCCCAGTTTCCCATTCCCAGTTTCCCATTCATTCCCAGTTTCCCATTCCCAGTTTCCCATTCATTCCCAGTTTCCCATTCCCAGTTTCCCATTCATTCCCAGTTTCCCATTCCCAGTTTCCCATTCATTCCCAGTTTCCCATTCCCAGTTTCCCATTCATTCCCAGTTTCCCATTCCCGGTTTCCCACTCATTCCCAGTTTCCCATTCCCAGTTTCCCATTCATTCCCAGTTTCCCATTCATTCCCAGTTTCCCATTCCCAGTTTCCCATTCATTCCCAGTTTCCCATTCCCAGTTTCCCATTCATTCCGGGTTTTCCCTCGCTCCCGCCAGGGGGCGCACTCTTCCCGCCACCTCTCTGTGGGCGTGGCCTGAGCTTCGATGGGCGTGTCCTCCAATGGGCACTGCCTGTACCAGAGGGGGCGTGGCCTGGGTCAGAGTGGGCGTGGCCCGGGTCAGAATGGGCGTGTCCCGAGGTCGGAGTGGGCGTGTCCCGGGTCGGGGGGGCGTGGCCCCGTGTGGGCGGGGCGCGGCGCGGTCCAAGATGGCCGCGGTGTCGGTGTTCCCCGGCGTGCGGCTCCTCACGGTCGGGGACGCGAACGGGGAGATCCAGCGGCACCAGGAGCAGCAGCCGCTCCGCCTCGAGGTCCGCACCGGCCCCGACAGCGCCGCCATCGCCCTCTACGGCCGTGAGTGCGCCTGGGGCGGCCGAGAGGGGCGGGGGGCCCGGCGGGGGAGGGGGGTGTGGGGAGGCGCGGGGGGCTGAGGGGTCTGAGGGGATGGGGGAGGGGCCCTGAGGGGGAAGGAGGCCCTGAGGGGTCGGTGAGGATGAGGAGGGGTCGGGAAGGGACCCTAAGGGGTCAGTGAGGAGCTGGGGGGGCCCTGAGGGGTCGCTGAAGATGAGGAGGGGTCGGGAAGGGACCCTGAGGGGGATGGAGGCCCTGAGGGGTCGGTGAGGATGAGGAGGGGTCGGGAAGGGACCCTGAGGGGGATGGAGGCCCTGAGGGGTCGGTGAGGATGAGGAGGGGTCGGGAAGGGATCCTGAGGGGGAAGGAGGCCCTGAGGGCTCCGTGAGGAGCTGGGGGGGCCCTGAGGGGTCGCTGAAGATGAGGAGGGGTCGGGAAGGGACCCTGAGGGCTCCGTGAGGAGCTGGGGGGGCCCTGAGGGGTCGGTGAGGATGAGGAGGGGTCGGGAAGGGACCCTGAGGGCTCCGTGAGGAGCTGGGGGGGCCCTGAGGGGTCGGTGAGGATGAGGAGGGGTCGGGAAGGGACCCTGAGGGCTCCGTGAGGAGCTGGGGGGGCCCTGAGGGG